GTTTACTTATCAGTTACAAGTGTATGTTTTGTTTCATTCCGCTTGCATGCTGGAAGCGTCTACGTCTTGTCTGTTTTTGTAGTTTGCTAGTTGATCGCGCTTGAGGTAAGTAAACAGAGAGCCAGGACAGGAAGTCGCACACCGGCTGCTCCGTAACTGAGGGCCAGCAATCATTGCATATAACATCAACAGTGACTTGTCAATCAAAGAACAACGCAAACAAACTTTCGAGACTTTTAATCACATACGCGTGCCTCGGTTCCCTATATTTTAAAATTGATTTGTGAGTATGTTCCAACAATGACAATGCTCCGAATTTTTAACACTATCTAGCCAAGATTGTCTGGGTAAGAAAAAGCAAAAAAACAAATTCACTCTGAGTGCCCACGAACCTGCATCTCTACCTTAAATTCGGTGGGGGGGGGCTTTTTGGCGCTACGCCGTATTCAGGAGCGGGGGCTTGTCTTTAATCCCGGTCTAATAAACTTTGTCTCTGGTAGCATGCTTATCTTATAAGTCTCCTCCCTCTCAGCTTGTCCGCTGTCACGGGGTGGGGATCGTTTGGTTAGGATATATCACCACAACTGAGGCTGTGCAGAGAAAGAATATACCAGTAACGATTATAACAAATCAACACAACACAATATGTACGGTTTCCCGTACTTTAATAAACAAATAACAGGAATGTTGGTCACTGGAACCAGCGGGGGGGGGGGGTATATAGTACACAAATAAAATTAGGAGACTTGATCGACGTTTCAGGGAACACTCCACTCTCCAATGGACAGCAATGTACAATGTTGCGTACCTTCGTATCTGGCACACTGTCAAAGCAGCTGCACTACAATTTAAACTGGTCCTTTGTGTCCAGGGAGTATCGGCACTGCTATCTGCTGCTACTGGTAACACTGGTACAACGAGAGTAGTTCAGGCAGTGAGCTTCAGTGGTTCCTGTTGATCAGCAGGGATTACTACACAGCACGTCTGCGTCTGTACCCCTGAATCTCAATCCAGTATACCAGTGTCTTCGTCATAATTTCCCTGGAGTAGTTTTTAGTGACCCAGCGCAACCCAGATTATAGTTTACGTCCAAGCACCTCACCACATATGATGTTTGTTCAGTGTTATGTTCCGTGGGTATGTATGTCTATATTCGCCACAACTGTGCACACTCGTAATTTCAACCTTATACCAAAACCAAATATACAGGTAAGCAGTTGAATGTGTTTATGTTTTACTGTCGTTCACATGTACTAATTGATCAGAATTTCAAGGCTTCAAATTTGATTCTTTTTGGGACCCCTGATCCACCAGTTGTTGTCCCACGTGCGGGAAACTTGAATAATCCAGCCACAGTACTTTGGGTCTAAAATTATTCAGACTAGAAATTATATTACTGTTCCTTTTCTAGCTGAAGTTGTGAAATTTTCTAACTAATATATAGTGTTTTATACAAATAGAAAAAAGCATTTCTTTTCGAGTTGTTTATTCTTGTACATCCAAGTTGTAAAAAGTATATCATGGGACAAAGTCAAACTCTCCATACATGAAGTCATTATAACTTGTTGTCTTCGGCATCATTTACCTGACCACCACCACACACTTGTTCATAAGTTGGCGGCGCTGTAAATCAAAAGAGATAATATAGATGATACCTCATGAGTGACCCTCAATATCAGATTTTTAAAGAACATCTATTGTACATTTCTTTTGTTCCGAGCCTTCGACGACAAGAAAATAAATTGTACTACTCTTCGATTTAATATTCTTTTTATCCCATGTATACATTTTAAAACATACGAATTGTGAGCGTGTATTCAAGACTGCTTTCTCCAACAATGATTACAGTTAGTTCGCTCTATGGCGTTATTAGTTATTATTAATATAGTTATTTTGACACTATTACTATATTTACGGTTTCGGAGATCTATTGCAAACATAATTACTAATTGTGAAGTCCATTCAAACAAGTTTAACAAGCCGGGAAAACATGAGTGAAACATAATAGAGTTTATGATGCGATCTCACTATTGCCTGAACAATGCCATTATCAATGCCACAACAGTTATAAATATATTATTCGAATCGAATGTATATAATATAAGCGTCAACTTCTGAAACGTCGGGAATTTTTCAAATTATTATATTTCTCAATAGTATTTCAAGAATTATTGCGTAAAACCACCAATATCTTGAGATATTGGCGTAATTTGTACAGCAGGTACTAAACCAGGTTACAGGTTACTCGTGATAACATAAGAGTGGATAATTTCATTACGTTGTTAAAACATGGTCAACATAAATGTGTGTCACGTCGCTGACGAAGTATGCCGCAAACAGCCTGCAACGTTGGCATAACAAATTGTGGAAAACTGGGTGAAAAAATGCAGCGCCGGTTTTTTTGGGGTTTACCAAACAAACTAAACACACTCTACACGCACGGTTACTAGACGCATTTGAAGTACTGTGATAGGTATTTTTGATGTTTAAAAACCTTTCACTTAGGTAACCGGGATTCGATCGTTCTCCGCGCTGGACTCACAAAAAACACACACAAACTCCATTCATGTTTAACCAATTCTCAGCTCGTCTCCTTGCTTCCGCCCGAGACAGCTTTAAATCACCCTTTATTTCTTGTCACTCCTTAACCAATAACAATCAGTATAAGAGACTCCAAGGCCTTGCCTTCAAACAAACAACCATGAAAGTTTTACACATCATAATCAATTGATTAATCGTCAAGCTATTTAGAAAACCACTATTATATTGTCAACACCAACTAATATTTATGGGTCTAATAGTCTTGCAATAACATTCTACAAAAATACCACATGAGTTTAGAATCGCAAACAACATTGGTTTAGGATTACAGCTACCGTACTGTAATCTTTTAAAACTGCAAACTCATAAGATGTCTTTGGCTGATTTCGACTAGTTCGCCATCTGGCTTTCTCATTAACCTTTATCAGTTATTTAACCTTTATCAGTTGATGTCATGGCAACCACTATTAAGCTGACTGGCCTCGTCATTTAACCCCTATCAGTAGATGCCATGGCAACCACCGTTAGGCTGAAATATAAATCATGACAGTACACGTCACCATTTCCGACAATTTGTACTTTAGCTTATCGCGCAATGTTACACAGCCTCCGATTTGGTTGGTGGAGTCGACAATGAGTCGGCACCAACAAACCGTATAGCTCTCAGCTATATAGCCTACTAGGCAGAATACGACACCAATCATACCAAATAGTAACTAACTAGCACTTGACTTGAAATATGCCACTTAACTGACGCCTCAAACCTACGCTGCATACACTTATTATACACTACACATCACAGTCGGCGCACTCGTAACACGCCGCAACACTAAGAATCATATATACACATAAAGATTAGTGGACTGACATATACTTTAGTGAGTTCAACACTGCTTAGTGCTTACACTCCACTTTTTTGCATTGAAGTATTGATAGAAAACAAATATTGTAAGTAATATTGTTCTTAGTAACTGAATAGCCTATAAGTAGCATATGAAAAGATGGAATTACTAGTAATTTGTATAGTTATTGGACCAAAAATTACTAAATTTTACTAACTTTATGCAATATTCGGAGATTGCAGTAATCAGATTAGTGGATAGAACACCATTTTACAGTCAAACTATTACTTACGTATGTTAGGAACTGGTACATCATCTTGTTGAGCTGAAAGCTCAGGTGTTGCACACCCTGGACCAAGTGATGCTGCTCTTTGATCAAGTTGTGCGTGAATTTGTTGCAAAGGTACTGAACCGATTGTAATTGGTAATTTCACTTGCAGGTCAAACGGTGCGAGTGGCACAACAGCCTTAAACTTACGAAAACAAAAATAAAATGGTATACCTTTCACTGATTTAGAATCTTATATCAACATGTCATATTCATTCGATTGAGACAAGCAGAATATACAATACATGTATTTCAAACAATATCCTTAAAACTAAAACAGATTTTTCTAAAGCAATTTTGGTTGAAATTTTATGTGTAATTTTCAGTAGTGTTCTTGTTAATGTTGGATGAAATGACGCTATTCTCTAGTGGCAACAAGAATTGCTTGTTTATATTCTGTCATGCTGCCAAAATATGATATTTAATATGCTTATCATTTGCATGACCATGGGTTGAAAACATTTATAACAGAATTTGTTAGAATGAACACATGCTAATTGCAATGAATTACACTCAAGATATTACTTTCAATATTAAAAAAATAAATGTCTTTCTTACCTCAACCAAGTACTTGATGTCAATAAAATGGGCTCCCCTCAGTCCACTCAGTAGCACAGGAGGTATTTCCAATACTTGGTTTCTCCACTCTGTTTTGCCGTATTTACAACATCCAGGTCCCCGAAACACAACTATTTTCTCGCTGGTCTTTTTATGATGTGTCTTATCAGTGTCATTATGATAGGCAGTAAAAGTAACATGCTGTGTAAGAAAACAATACTCACAAAAGTAGTGTGAAGCGACAGGTTGTTTATATTCATAATGTAGCAATTAACTTATTCCTATCAGTCATGCTACATACAAAATAATTTGTTTTCGGTCAGAACGTTTGTCAGTTCAAAATCGTTATTAAAATATTGTTAAAATGGTATTAAAACAGCAAACATCTAAAGACAACACACAAATATGTATTTAATTT